GGGGATAGGAGGGTGAGTAAATAATCGTATTTTTCTTTTCATACCTCTTGTCTGGTCGCATCTATCTGTGATGTACTTTTTTTCTTTTTCTTTTGCGTCGCAGTTTTCGGACCAGATGTTTGTGCTTCAGGAGTAAATTCCATAGATTCATCCATGTCTAGGAGTGATAAAAAACCCATTCACATTCATCGATAACGAAGTACATCCAACAAAAAGTGTAAACCAACCCAATTTTCTGGATTCAAAAATTATGAACACTATAAAGAGATTGATAACGCTATCTTAGTTTCAATGGACTTACCTCCGATTGATGACTGCGTTTCGCTTGCCTCCGGTGTCTCCTCATCTTCATTTTCACCTAAAAGATCACATAGTTTAAAACTCGAAGTTTAAGTTTAATCTGTCTTAGAAAAACCAGTTTTATTTAGACTTACTTGCGTTGTTTGCAAATTCCTTTTCGATTTCCTGTTCGTCAAGGTCAGGTGCTTCATAAGTGGCGTGCTGGAAACGAAGAAACAAGATATGTACATTATCACCATGTATCATTCATCATCATTACCATCATCATCACCACCATCATCATTACCATCATCATTCCATCATCATTCCATCATCATTATCATCATCATTCATTAACATTCAGCAGCAGCAGAAGCAACACTACGCCACCATCATCATTCATCATCCTAATCATTACCACCTAGTATCACTATCATTCATCACCATCAAGGGATGCAACATCACCCACTCATACAACAACACCACCACCAAACATGATCATCAACATCATTAACACCATCACCATCATTCATCTCCATCAAAGGATGCAACATCACCCACCCATACAACAACACCACCACTATACATGATCATCAACATCATTAACACCATCACCATCATTCATCTCCATCAAAGGATGCAACATCACCCACCCATACAACAACACCACCACTATACATGATCATCAACATCATTAACACCATCACCATCATTCATCTCCATCAAAGGATGCAACATCACCCACCCATACAACAACAACAACGCCATACATGATCATCAACATCCTCAGTGTTCATCCTTACCTGTTCTAGTTTCTGTCTTTGTTTCACATCAGTAGCATCCCCATCAACACCTTCATCATCAGACAGCTCTATGTTATCATCGTCATCATCTGTCATAAAAAACGTAAAACAAGTTAAGCTTAAAATGACTGCCCTGCCTCGATTCGGAAAAAGATGGACGGAAGGATAGACAGATAGACAGACAGATATTTTAGTCACTTACCAACTGGTTCTTCTTCTGTTGCTGCAGTTGATGCACTATTGTTATCGCCAGTAGAATCTAACAGTCTAAAATAACAGATGCTCATATTTAATTCCTATGCATACCACTAGCACGCTACGTATCGAGAGAGAAAAACAATGCATTTCGCCTTCTAAAAATTGATTTACAGACCCCTTGCATTGAATTCCTAGAGGAATTGTTCTGGAGGACAAAACAATAGGCCGTCTTTTCTTAGTGCAAGGGGTCTATAACTACAACACAATGCTTGAGATTCCCATTTGCAGTTTCACAGTTTCTAGGACCCACATTAAGAAATCCTGGCACAATCTCTGAATAGTCATGCTATATTGTGAAGTCAGCTTTTCATCCTTGTCCTAACCAGAGATCAATGGACTGATCGGTTGGTATCAAAAACTATAATTAATGGTAAGTCACGGGAATGTTACAGGTGCCACTATCAAACCCCACCCATCAAACAACAAGTACATGTTGCTTTAATGGTGTTAGCGAATACCTGATATTATTAATGTAGCACAAGGTCCACGCCTGACGATCATGGTATGTATCCTGCCAGGGTCTAGCTATGTGCATATATATACCACATCAGTGGTATAATCTACTACAGACCATTATGTTGTATATACTGCCAGGGTCTAGCTATGTGCATACTGTATATACCATATGAACCATGGTATATTCTACTACTGGGTCCAGCCATGTGCATTATATACTATCAGCCATGGTATATCATACTACAGATTTACATCTTGCAAGGATTTAGATACAGTCAATGTCAATAACGTTGTCCACCGAAAAAGGCATTTACACTTTTATACATATACACATTTACACATTTACACATTTAGACTAAAAGAAATCTCACATGTTTCATTATGTATTCTTTGCTTTGTGTGCGTCAGCCTGAACTTTAAATGTAAAATTCAACTCGTGAATCAAAAATCCAGAATGTCCCGACCATTTAGCGAGGATTTAAGATGGAGAATGGTATTTGAGCGTTTGTTTAATGACAGAACGTTTGAGGAAACACGTTATATTTCTTTTAGTCTAAATGTGTAAATGTGTAAATGTATAAATGTGTAAATGTCTTTTTTCGGTGGACAACGTTAATGACATTGACTGTATATGCACACATTCAAGAGTTTCTGTTTACACCACTAATTTTATTCAACTCAACTAAACTGTGAAGAAAAAACTTTATAACATCTAGGCGTATTCACCTCTGTGACTGTGTGTTACGGACAGCTTTCTGTACGGCACTGATCAGCTTCTTGATAAACACTCTCTCGATGTATTGTAGAATATCGTTGGGAGAGCAGTGAAAGTCGTCCTAAAACAACGGGGAAAAAACAATATAAAGCATCAAAATATGAAAAAACAGCAATAAATAAGAATCAAGGGTGGTGTAGAGGTAGCACATTCCCTTCCCACCTCTGGGGCCTCAGGTCGAATCAAATCTGACTAGAGTTTGTTAGGACTCTCTTTTGGTTCTAGGGTTTTGTCATGCCCCGGCTTCGATCAGTTCAGAGGTTGTTTGAGGGTTCCATCTGTGAGTCAGCCATGCCCCAACTTCGATCAGCTTAGAGGTTGTTTCAGGATTTAATCTGTGAGTTAGACATGCCCTGCCTTAGATCAGCCCAGAGGTTGTTTCGGGGTTCGACCTGTTAGTTAGCCGTGCCCTGACTTAGATCAGCCCAGAGTTTGTTTCAGGGTTAAATCTGTGAGTTAGCCATGCCCTGACTTATATCAGCCCAGAGGTTGTTTCAGGGTTTGATCTGTGACTTAGACATGCCCTGACTTAGATCAGCCCAGAGGTTGTTTCGGGGTTCGACCTGTGAGTTAGCCGTGCCCTGACTTTGATCAGCCCAGAGGTTGTTTCGGGGTTCGACCTGTGACTTAGCCGTGCCCTGACTTTGATCAGCCCAGAGGTTGTTTTGGGGTTCGACCTGTGAGTTAGCGGTGCCCTGACTTAGATCAGCCCAGAGGTTGTTTCATGGGTTCGATCTGTGAGTCAGCCATGCCCTAACTTAGATCAGCCCAGAGGTCGTTTCGGAATAGCGATAAATTTTGAAAGCTAAATATTATTGATGGATGAAACAATGGATGTACGCATTGTTGATTGTTAGCAGTCAAGATACCAGACATCAGTTGCCTTTAGCCAATCAAAAACCATCACCTACCTTGTACTGAGCATGTGGTAGGGACATGAACCTGATCCGATATGCCCTCATTCTATTGAAAGTAAAAATACGACTTTAAAATAAATCCCCATGGCCCCAACAGATCACATGATTTATCACGTCACAATGTCCTCATACATACCTTGTTCCATGTTCTTTAGGAGAAAGTGACTCCCAGACATCAACTGACTGTAACACCTTAAATCAATGAGGAGATTTAAGTTATGAGAAGCTGTACGTTGTTTTCACTTGAGTACAATTTCTTTCTTTACCATTGAGTATCTTTAGGGAAGATGCATGGTATTTGACAATTTGTCATGTAGGGCAGGTGATACAACAATAGGACACGACTTCCCTTACGTATGGTATGAGCATAAACCAAAAACTTTCTTTCTAATAAATRTGAAATGAGATAGGAATTACGTCCTAACAAACTTGTGTCTTCATAGCAAAATTTATGAGTTTCTTTCTAACCTCTAACTTTTTTTTTCCATTTTATTATAGCTGTCGGTCAGTCTGTCAGTCTGCTCTTTTCCTCGAATTCATGGTATAACCTTAGTAATAGTCACCCACCCTCCCCCCCCCCCCCCCCCCCCCCCCTTCTAAAATTCCTGGGTCCGCCCCTGGTCTGTTTGTCTGTATTTCTGTCTTTCTCTTCTTCTTTTTGTTTGTTTGCTTACCTGAGATAACAAAACCCTAGTGAACTGAATCTGTAGTTTCTTGGCTTTCCTGACAGCCTTCTTGGTTGATAGTAACGGCAAATCCATAGTTGGTGTTTTGATATTAGGACTTGCTGTCATGAGAATTTCCCTGGAAACAACAAAAATAACATTAACTACAATAGAGCGAGTTTCGTATGACTATGCTGTTAGTGACACCTTGAAAATAAAGTGCGCTGTCTTTTAACACTTGTAATAGAGACCTTTAGCATGACTTTCTTGATAGCCCTGCAAACCTCAAGCTGCAGTTCGACGTCAGGTGTTTTCCGTCAAACTTTCAACATGCAGCAAGGCGTCATAACGAGGTTGTTGCTGGAAGAAGTGCCATATTGAACTTCATTTATGCGGAGTGTTTCTCCGTGTTGGCGGGCGTGTTTCTGGGCCTGATCCCTAGCGGTTCGCGACAAACCTGATGCTAAAGGTCTCTAATAACACTCAAACGTACCTTAATCGTGGGATTCCTAGTGTAACGTTGAGCTCAGCTCGGCCAGCAAAATGGAAAGTGTTCAGTGTCATTTGTGTTGAGGGCTCTCCAATGGACTAGAGAAACAATGAATAGATTTAGTCGAGTCCCTAAAGCTTAAGTCAAACGTAGAACTTCACATAAGCCGAACCTAATTGAAACTATGGATAACAAGGTGGCCGTCATTAGGTTCGGCTCATGTGAAGTTCGATGTTTGACCTTGGTCTTACGAGCAATACATGTACGGTACAGTCAACCCTCAGTGGTACAGACATTTTCCATATTTACCCATTATCATTGACTCACCTGTGCTGCAAGCAGACCTACAGCCTCACCAGGTTCGACGAGAGATCGCATTACCTTAAGGAACATTAAGACACGAAACTTGCCTGAATCAACCTGGTCCCTGGACAATGGAATGAAAAGGTGAAAAAACTGGGTACGAGAACAATGTGAAACAAAGCTGCGCGTATGAAAATTCCATTCAACTTTAATTTTCGTCCAAGGAACTACTGAAATAAAAGGGATGGAGGGAAGCGTTGTAACAGGGGCTGTGTGATTTAGCACGAGGAAGCATGGCAGTAGAGAGAAACCTAGCAAAAATTTATAACATCGTACCTTCCTTGCTCTTCTTCAGATGAAAAGCACTTATCAGGATCGTTTTTGGTGTAATTGTTGATTGACCTTGAAATCTTTTCTGGCACCGCTCCGAAGTACAGATCAGGCCTTAGCTTAGAAATCACAGGTAGTGGAGCAGTAGAGCAAACTTTTCTATAACTGTTAATAACAAGGTGTTTATTACACATTTAGGGTCGATATCCGTGTGATAAAGCCGTGAATAAAAACCATATCAGTGAAGTGATACGATATCAGTTCACTGTGAACCGGGAACTGTGTGTCATCATTGACAATTCTTTTGTTAACATTCAACAATTATAGCAACTATAACGTCATGTGCAAACGAAAAATAAGGGCAAGAATCGCGCAGATTACACAAAACAATGTTGTAAGCAAATGCGTCAAGCAAAGATGTGTGAAGAAACTAAGCAAACAAATCTATCAGGTAACGAGGTAGTGAAGTAGTAGATTGAGTGGTGTCTACATACCTTGACTTAATGGATTGTGTTTGTTTGTGCCATGTCTTGAACAGCTGAAGATGAGCCTGGACGATATGAAAAACATGCCAATTATGATACGATGAAAAGTGCGCACGGGAAGACTTTACATAACAGTGAAGAAATTAAAACAAAAAGTATAGATTGATCCTTATTACATATGTAGATTTATGATTTACATAAATGAAACGAAAAAAAGCTAGAAAAAAAGAAAGAAAGATTTAGGGAAAGGAAGGAAAAGTAAAAGAGAAGAAAAGAGAACAGAAGAGAAGAGAACAGAANCATGACGTCATGTGCACTCATCTTTGGTGTCACATGCACTCGTCTATGACGTCACATGCACTCATCTATGACGTCACGTGCACCCCAAAGAACTACCCGCTTATTATGGCTAGTTATGGCACTTACAGACTTTACAGGTTCTTTGGCACATGATTGCTACAGCTGCTCGATTGCAGAACTTTTGCAAGCGGAAGCAGTTGTTAACTCGGTCTTTACAATCTGCGAATGAAATATAAATCTTAAAATTGAAGTTGCAAATATAACAACGTCCTCATCCAATAGTACCATGACCTGTTGAAAACCGGAAATATAACCTGATTTCTATAACGTACCTCCTTCCTCACCTGTCAAAAGAAAAGGAAAAAAAATAGTTAAAATCACTTTAAATATGTTAATGTCTCACGTGGCATTTGAGAGATTATTTTGTAACTAGTAATACTACATGTCGGCCATTATGAGAAAACAAATTTAAACTGAACTAAACCTAGGTAAAAGATCATGGACAGTTTGTTAACTAGTACTCACACGCTCCACAGGTTTTGCGGCACCAAGTGTACTTAATGTTCCAGCTGGTTTTGCAGTATTTTTTCAGATGGCCTTGGCAATTGAAGGCCTTGTCCTTGCAATCTATGAAACCAATGGAAGACAAATGAGAAAAAGATAAGAACGATGAAGAGAAAACAGAACAGAACAGAACAGAACAGAACAGAACAGAACAGAACAGAAGAAAAGAGAAGAGAAAAGAAGGGAAGAGAAGGGAAGAAAAAAGAAGACAAGAAAAGATGGAAGGAGTATGATTACCTCAGTTCTCCCAAACGAAACAACAGAGGTGGAATTCTTCTCTTCCTGTATCTTATCAAAATTATCTCTCGCGAACACCAAGAATGGCGAGTCGCGGGATTTCCTGTCTTGCTGGTGTTTCTTGTACCATTTATTGACCTGAGCAAGAAATGAAAATAAGGAATCATTGGAAATCAAACGTACATCAAGGGACCATCAGGTGCCCGATATTCGAGCAGAGAGGACCCCAAGATAGGAGATGAATGAATGATAGCGCGTTTGCACATGATATCACAGCGACCATGTTCGTGCACCCAAAAAAAAGTTTTCTATCCTCGGGGAATTCAACTTTCTTTAATGCAAAACTGTGCAGAAAGTTTTTCATGCTTGGTACAYCAATATGGCTGCCTTCTTACATGAGTGAAAACGTCATATAGCTGGTTACTGGGTTGCCTGTGGCAGCCCAGTCGTAAAATGCCTTCGGTTTTTTGGTCTCCTTCTAGCAAAATGTGTGATTCAAGTCCCAGTCACTGAGCCCCAGTCACTTTCAATCCATTTCAGTCACAACCAATCAATTCCAGTCACATTCAAATAACATCCAATTTATCTTAATAGCATCTTAATGGAGGAAAATTAGTCGTAAAAATCTGTTATGATCCACAGAGTCACCTATAGACACATGATGTATACAGTCCTTTGAAAAGCCTTTGCCACTGACTGGCTTCACAGGAGTCGATCTACAGAGTCACCTATAGACGATCTACAGAGTGTCCTATAGACACATGATGTATACAGTCCTTTGAAAAGCCTTTGCCTCTGACTGGCTTAACAGGAGTTCAACCAGTGCCATGATTCAAAACATTTTTTAAAAAATGCATTTATTTTTGCAAAATTTCGGAATAGAATTACTAGTTATTTATAATAAAATAAAAATCATAGGATAAAAGCTGCAAATTCGGCGTAACAAAAACGTCTACGTTCCGTACGATCCAGCCAACCGAAGTCCAGTCCATTCCATTAATGTACGGTTCCGGATTTTCCAAAATTAAAAAACACTCAAAATTCGGGCATTTAGAAGGGGAAAACAAATTTAAGAAGTGGGGCATGTTTATGCTATACATCAAGATTATCCATGGCCTTTCAAAATGTGAAAACTCAAAACGTTTTTGTTTTATTCCTGTTATTTCCTGTTAATAGTCAATATAAACTGTTATAATAATACTCATTTGTAAACTCCCTGAAGAAGTCTGTTGCTTACGCGAAACGCGTCGGAGTAATAAAAAAGTTTACAAAAGCTAAGGAAAGATCAGTTGTTCATTTGTGCTGCTCACCTGTACACTTTWAAAAAAAAGCTTTTAATTAGACGTAAAAATCTGAACTAAAAAACTATAAAAATATGACAGGAACATAATAAGGCAACTCGTTCTTTACGATAAGCATGTAATACATTAATTAGGATGATTATAGAAATTTAAAAATTCATGGAAAATTCAGAAACAATTAGCAATGTGAAACAAAACAAACAAAAAACAAAATGCTTGTAAAGCATTTTACAGAATGATAAACTATACTTAGTACCTTTTTCTCCATTTTCTCTGCTGTTTTAGAATCAACATGTGGAAGCAAGGAGCTGGGATTCATTCGCTGAATAAATGACTAGGCAACACAATTAAGAGATTAATTAGTTTATTTTAAATGATGGAACACAGTCAAATATAGAAAATGTTGGTATATTTATTTGGATTGCTTGTGGCATACTAACTGCCTTCGGTAGAAAGGGAAAAAAAAAAGAAAATGGACAGAAAGGAAACAGGTAAAAACTCGGAGGAAAACGGTGAGGATGGCAGAGGAGTGGCAGGAGTGGAGGGGAGAGGAGAGGAGAGGAGAGAAGGGGAGAGGAGGGGAGGGCAAGCAAAGGCAAACAAGAATGAAAACAAATGAAAAAGGCAACAGAGTGAGGGAGGAAGAGAACTGAAGAAAAGTTTTAGATATCACATACCTTGTAGTTGCTGACCATAAATGGGTACTCATTCTCTGACAGAAATTTAGTCTTGAGAATGTCGAGCCCATCCTCGCCATAATAGAACTGTACAACTGACCCGTCACTATCCCTGACAGTAAGATCGTAGTTCACRTGAAGACCCTCTAAGTGTTTGATTAAACAACGTTGTAGGTATCCACTACGACTTGTCTTGACGGCTGTGTCAACAAGACCCTGAGAAGATAAAATATTAGAACACATTTTTATTGAGAAAACCCCACAATATTTTCAGCTTAAATAAAGCTTTAATGTGCGTTTCAATAATTCCAATTTTTAAAAGAAGAAACGGGAAGAATGAGAAAAACTACTGGTCAACAGGAAGGAAGGAAGGAAGGAAGGAAGGAAGAAAATTCAAAGGAAGGGAGGGAGAAAAGGAAGGAAAAACGGAAGAGAAAGACGAAGGAAAGACTTACCTCTCTTCCCGCCATGCAATGAAAGAAATACTCCTGGGGTCTTATTCCCGTTARAAACCGCCCATCGACAAATCCACCAGCCCTTGGACTTGTATCATAAGGTAGAAACGAAGGTAGAGAACGGCCACTGAGCATGATGGGAGGACGGCGMCCTTCTAACTCAATCTGACCCAGCAAGCAAGAGATCTGCATGCAGTTTACCGCTGACCCCTTAGCACCGGCTTGTACCATCAGCTGAAGATTGTTGGCTGATCAGAAAAAATAAAAGAGTACGATTAGGGTGCAACAGAGCAGATTCTGTGATGATGAAAAACTCGCGGTAGGGACATGCCATGCCATTACAGCAGTCTTCATGACTGTGAAAATCTCAGTGCCGTATGCGTGCCTTGCCGTGACCGTGACCGTGACCGTGATGTTTTCTAGAATTTTAATTGGCTTTTTGTATTCTCAGGCACTATGATTGGTCTGGCATTACCGCGACGTTGGTGTGACCATATCCGCGCCGTGTTATGGGCATTTCGTTGAATGCAGAGTACATTTTCGCGCAATGCGATTGGTCTAACGTATCTCTTGACCGTGACCGTGACCGTGTTTGTTTCGCGGGCTTTTCACAATCATGCGAAAACTGCTCTGTTGTGATGGTGCCATGTGCGAAAATTTGAATGTCTGTGATTGGTTCATTAGATGTCATCAATTGTGTACCCTGATAGTTAAACGTGYCGTGCTGTTTCCCAGTGTCAGTTTACAAGATCGTTACAGGTCGAATYCGACGCTTGAACACGCAACGCCCATGCGTATCTCGATCCCTAATGAGTCACATSTTTTTCAGYCACTTTCAGTCCTGAGCTTGCAAGGCATTTCACTGACAGCGACTGTGCGGCGTGCCTTTTCAGGTTTACACGAAATGACCCACGATTGATGCAGTGGATAATTTACGCATGTTTAGTATCCAAACAGCGGTCTTTACTGTGGTATGTAAAATCACTAAATACTTTAACAGATGGTCTAGAGGTAGGCCAAAAACTCACCAGGGAATCGTTCGTAAAGTCCAAAAGGAATACAAGCCTTGTTGATCTCATCTTGGAAGTGATCTGTCTTTCKYTTGACGCAGAGATCCAGTTCTTTCATGTCGGCGCCATCATTGTTATGATGTGCCGATTGCATACGCTCTAACAGTTCACCACTGTAAGCATGGAAGCAATATGTTGTTAATAAAGCAAGCCTACAGCAAGTTTACTGCGGCGTTTCCATGACTACAACTGAGAAGCRCGAAAGTGTGTCTGAGGGATACGCAAATATTGGTCCACCTAACTAAAACACTTTATTACTCTCACGTTACAATGTCATAGCCTTTGCCTACGCTAAAAACTAAAGGAAATGTATCTCGTATCCTTTTAGTAAATGACGTTACGCCCAACTGGGTAACAACTTCTCTCCTCTTCACTCAATTAGAACCCTACCCCTCCCCTGAGAGAACTGATTTTCTTCTCACCTATGACAATCCTCAAGCAAACCAAAGGCTTTAGTAGCTGCTTCGTGKCCAGATTCTCTTCCCTTGGCTATTAATTTCCTTCGTGCTTTATCTGCTCGTTTAGTTACAAGAATGTCCTTGACACCAAGAGTGAARCCATGGAACTGTAAGAATGTTGTGAAGAGGCGAGCTAATGCTGAGAGCAACTCTCCTGCCATTACACCTCCGTATAGCTGTTAATTAAAGTACAAAGATACGCGTGGTTATCTCCTTGTCATCATTAATCTCGTACCCAGAGCCTGCGTTTCTTCTGGCCTGCGGCCAAGAACGAGGGCTCTGGCATGATCCATTTTTGGCGCATGCGCAATTTTCCGGAAGTGAAATAAAGTCAATGAAAACCTTGCTTTCAAACAGAGTTCTGTGTTTACTTCCGATCAAAATAAAACTTAAAAATCGGGAACATTCAAAAAAATTTTGGCAAGTCTTTGAACGCATGCGCTCTTATACCGGAAGTCCTCGAAATCCTGGTCTCAAAAAATGGATTACGCCAGAGCCCAAGTTCTTCGCCGCAGGCCAGTAGAAACGCAGGCTCTGGGTACGATTGCGTCATCATCATCATAACTAGCACCATCATAATTTCCAGGAACAACAGTGGTGATTATGTAATAAATAACCTTGATGATAAACTATACCTCATAACAGCAGTGCACCAGACTATACGGGGTATTACCATAGTGCGCTTTGTCTAATACGCCGCAAAGTAATTCTCCGCCTCGAAATATCACCTAAAAACAATCCAATAAAATATGGTTACTACAGTTTTTCTTATTGACGATAAATTGYGTCATCGYATTGTCAAAGTAGTGTGGATCCACGAGGCGTAGCAACCGTACAACTTACCTCAGACTCAGACATCTCATCTTGTTTAAGAATTTCCATATTCAGAAACTGACGCTTAGGCTTTTGCGTTGACCAATTCTGATAAGGAAAGAAAATAACTCGACAATTTATCCTTTTAATTATTTATTTTAACTCTTTTTTTATGTATATTATATCAACATCTTTGTTGCAGAAGTCTCAAATACAAAAATGAAAGCAGCTCTACACGAATGTAAAAAGATAACAATAATTTAAAATTAGGGCAATGATGTGACCAAAAAATGAAAGGAGTGCACAAAACTATTGCTTTATTATTTCTCCATTTTTTTTCTTTTGTCTTTTACCTTGCCTGCAATTTTTGCCTTTCCTTTCAAATTCAATGGCAGCATACCATCTGGGACAAGGTTTAACAGTACTGTAGTTACGATCTATAAAACAAAAACATACATTAAAAACGCCTTGTAGCAGAGGATACAACCAATAAATTCTACGTGTGTATGACATCAAATTTGGAGTTCACAGGGTTTTATCAACATGTAAGTCAATTTATTTATCAAACTATTGAAGACTGTTGGTGATTTTTTTATTGTGAAAATCTTTATACGCGATTCGGTCTAAGCTAAAGAAAATACATGAGAATTATTTCTGTATCCCTTAGGACATAGTCTTTTTCTTGATTGACTCCTATTCAAATAGGATGCAGAATTCTGCACCTGGTAAAAAACCTGAGTTGATGTGAAACTGTGCTGGCAAGAGTCAAGTGCTTTCACTGCTCTAAAACTAATGCTCCCATCATGGTCTAAGTAATGTTTAATAAACTACGAAAACTATGCGCCTACCTGTTTACCAGACCACATTTGCTGTGGTTTCAGTACACAAGGTTGTACTAATGTTATTGGTTTGTTCTTGAAGTTAAGGGCACTAAACACCAACTGCTGATAGTCACCCCTGTAATGCAAAATAACTAGTTAAGACAAGCAGGCTTCAGACTTGGAAAATGTTTAGGGTGTGGGGTGGGTGTCATAAGCTGCTACAAAACGTCCTCACCACTGTGCAGTTTACACCTACTGTTGGGTTGTAGGTGTGATTTCYGACTGGGCCAAGTAAGTTGAGTTTGTTTGATGTGCATTCTCTCCCTTGCCACTAGGGTCTTTCTTTAGGTTCTCTGGATTTTCTCCCTCCGTAAAAATCAACATGAGTGCATAGAATGAACCTCAAGGATGAGCCCCCAATTTGGAGTGAAGGTTGCAAAAATATWTTTTTTTTATAAGTTAGGCCCCGTCCACACTATGCCGGATAAATTTGAACCCGAATTTTTATTTATTCGGTTAGGCCTACCGYCCACACTAGTCCGGGCGRATCCGGAACAATTCTTCAACGAAAACGAATTTTTTCGAATACGGTCTCCAGAGTGGAACAATTTGAAAACGCCGGCTAGCCGTATTAGTGTGGACGGAGAACATTTGGTATCCGAAATTTTTCGAATACGATGCCGTCATGATTGTCATGGGAACATGGCTGGAAGGCTAAAAATTCACTGCGGGCTCAATTTCAGTTTTGATGCACATGCTCAGATGTGCAATGAAGCGATTTTGCCGCCTCTGATCGGACTAGTGTGGACGCGAACCATTTTATCCGTTTTCATGTGTGGACGGAAAACTTTTTTTCGGTTTCGGTGTGAAAGTTGCGGATTCAAATTTATCCAGCATAGTGTAACTTATAACTTATATTTTAGACCATATTATATGCTATTTAGGAAACMAACAAGCTGATAACAATACCTGTTAAACATCCTCCCCCTGATTGTCATCCTTACACCAGACACGATATGATCCTGGATGAGTCCGCCCAGGGGGGTGCCRTCTTTAGGCACAAGGTACTGAAAGTTTGTACTTGCTACATATATAAAAAAAAGATTATTAATGAATTATCTTCATCACCATCATCATTATGTCTTATTGTTTTATTATCATCTTCTTCTTCATGATCCTGACCATGATTATCATAATCATCATCACCATCAACATTATCACCACCACCATCATCATCATCAGCATCAGCATCATTCATCACCACCAACATCATCATCATCATCATCATTATCACAATCATCACCATCATCATCACTACCACCATCATCATCAGAAGCAGCATCCACTCATAAGCTTCATCACCATCTTCATCTCCACCATCTTCATC